TTCAAAAAATAAAATTATCAAAAATAATTTGCATGTTTTTTATTGAACTGACCGAAAGGCGCACGTGTGGTCGTGCAAGAATTATCTCTGAAAGGAACACGGTCATCAAGTGAAGCAGGTCAGGTGAAATCAGACAGAAACATCAATTTGCCACTTCCTGGCTGACGCAACCCAGAGTCAACGATCCAATCCGCCGACGTGGCATATCGGTACGATCCTGGTTTTGTCTTGCCGCCAGCGGCACCTGGTTTGGAACCCACCTTTTCTACATAAATATATATAAATAATATTAAAAAAAAAATCTTCTCAAATTTCCCACTTACGGTTCACCGCTTCTTTTCCCTGACGCGACGTTGCTGGCAAAGTATGTGAGTTCCTTTGATTTTGGCATGTTTTTAACTTTTTATTAATGGACCTAATCAAAGCTTAATGGCTCCCCATTACCCTCAAGGGACACTTTCTTCTTCCTTATAAATCTCACAGCAATCCTCACCCCACTAACCAAACCATAATTTCTCGACATCACCAAATCCTGCTATTACTTGCCAACATGGGCGAATCCGCGGATCAATTTGTTTCACCCAGGAGCAAGAAGCTCTCGTTGTGAAGTCATGGGAAGTAATGAAGAAGAATTCTGCAGAGCTGGGTCTCAAGCTTTTCTTGAAGTAGGAAATCTCCTTTCTGAATCCTCTTGTTGATTCCGACTTCATCTTCTCTGCCTTTTTTATCACACGATTATTTTTTTAATTATTATTTCAGAATATTTGAGATTGCCCCGTCGGCTCAGAAATTGTTCTCCTTCTTGAGAGATTCGAAAGTCCCTCTGGAACAAAACCCGAAGCTCAAGCTTCATGCTATGAATGTCTTTGTCATGGTAAGCTTACTCTGTTTTTCACATATATAAACCCATCACAGCTTTAGCACCATTCAGATTTTATACGTTGTCTTCTGATATATATATATATATATTATCTTTTCGGATATTTTATTTATTGCAGACGTGGTGAATCAGCAGTTCAGCTTCGAAAGGCTGGTAAAGTCACAGTGAGAGATTCAACCTTGAAAAGATTAGGTGCTCTCCATTTCAAAAACCGGTGTCGTGAATGAGCATTTTGAGGTATCAGAAAAGTTGACATGGTTAAAGTAGAGACGAAGTTTTTCAGATGATTGCTATTAAAGTCTTCAACATAATAAAGAAATTTATACCAATGACATGTAGACTAAAATCTAAACATATAAGAATTCACTTATGCTTGCATCTTGTTGATGATAGAAACAGACTATACTAACCTAACCCAAGAATCTACTTATCCAGGCGTCAATATAGAATGATTAGGAGTTCTTTACTACTAGATTAATGTAAACCTAATCTTGTTTGGTGTTGCTAAGGTTACAAAGTTTGCACTTGTGGAAACCATAAAAGAAGCAGTACCAGAAATGTGGTCGCCGGACATGAAGAATGCATGGGGAGTAGCTTATGATCATCTAGTTGCTGCCATTAAAGCTGAATGAAACCTTCCTCTTAGATCATCTCTACAACTTGTGTAGTACTTTCCTCTGGAGCTCAAAATGTTTGATGGAGTGCCACGTCATCAGTCCAGTGTTTCTGCGTGCATGTCATTGAGCTAGTGTTTGGATCGTTGTGTTTGCAATATTCTGTTGCATAAACCTGCTTATTACATAGCCATTAATGTTGCTTTTGTACCAGTTTGGAAAGGATCTTAGCTTTTAAGAATAATTGGAGTTAATAAATTAAAGATATAATTTCTGTCAGTGATGGCTTTTAGTAAAGCTACTTTTGGCTCCTTGTATTTGACACAAGTATTTAGTTATACTAATACAATCATAATCTCTGTTGAAATATCTCGTGTGACTTTTTAATAATAAATATATTGAACTTTTACATGAAACTTTTTCTCTTTTTATTAAAGTATTTTATTTTTTAAATTCTATTCATTTTTAGATAATTTTTATTGAATATTGTACAAAATCACATGCATCATGTGATAGTTTAGCTGGGAAAATGGAGAAATTTCTTTTTATTTTTGGAAAAAAATCAAATTCATTAAACTAAATTGAAATACATATAAACAGCCCAAATCAAACGAGATTAATTTGGGTTTTTAGTCCTAAGAATATTATATAAAACAAACATAAAACAACATTGAGATGGACGGTAGTGTAAAGTTCTAAATGGATCAATGCAAGAGCTGTGTCCAACTTGAGCCAGCTTATTTTAATAATTGTCTTGGTTTTGAATTTTGATAAAGCTCTGTTCTATTGTCTGCATTGACCAGCGTTTACGAAGACAAAGAAAAATAGTGAATCGTTCCTGAAATAACCTATATTTTGCAATTTCAAACAGTCAAACAAAACGTAATCAATCAAATAAAAATGGACAAAAAGCGTCAATTCGTGAGTTCATGGCTTACGCAACCAAACGGTCCAATCCTGGTGGCTGCACCTAGTTTCGAACCAGCCTCATTATTTTATTGACATACACTACACTATTAATTAAATGTCTAAGGGATAATTTCAATAAAAATTCTTTAACTATATTTAATTACATTTAAAGTTTTTAATTTTTGAAATCTCATTCGCATTAATTTGATATTAAATTTATTAAAAAAATAATAAAATTATTTTTCATTTAAATTAATATTAAGACTGTCATTCTTCATTTATCTATTTATTTATTGAATATTGTTGATTACCTACTTCACTTATTTATTTTCCTTAAAATAAAATCCAATGAAAGTCTAATAATAAATAAGTGAAGTAGGGTAATTAATAATAGTCCATAAGTAAATCAACAATATACAATATAGAAATCAATAAGTTATCTTAAGATGATTTAAACACCTAAAATAAAAATAAATTAAGTAGAATAATTAACAATATTATGTAAGTAAATGAAAAATAAAAAGGGTAACGAATAAGTAAAGTAAAGAAATTATGATATTAATTTAAAGGAGGGACAATTTTATCATTTATCTAATTTAATGTCAAATCAATTTCTATAAACTGCAGTAAAATTTTTAAATTTTAAAAATTTTAAATGTAAATAAATTTGGTCAAAGGCCCTTTATTAAGATTCTCCCAATGTCTAATGTTATTATTAAATGAAAGAAAGCAAGGAGTTAGCCACAAAGAAAGCCATGAAGCACAAGGAAGTATCTGGTAGAAATTGTTTTTTTTTTTTTCAATTTCTCTCAAGTCTCAACAAATTCTCACGATTTTATGTCGTATATGTATGCGTTCTTAGGTTACACATGCACATCAACGGTTTACTTTTATTTATTTTTTTTATCGCTATTTTGGGGGAAAAAAATTCTCACGATTTAACAGGCGCTAACCAGGAAAGCATATTGCTGTTTTGATTTTAAAGATCAGAAAACATAATCAGCTTTGATAACAAGATGAAAAAAAAGTCATTCATGATCTGTAATGTCCTCCAGTTTTGTAACTAAACGTATCTCTTTCCCTATTAACTTTCATGATATGTCTTGCGTGTGATTGTGAGAGTGTACAAAATTTAACGTACAAAGCCCAAAAGAACACTAGTAGTCCAGTGTGACTGACCTTGATTGATAAAGGGTAAAAAACCTAATACTTCAATAGTGGTAATTTTTAGTGCATGTTTGGATTAAATCCTAATTTAAGTTGGGATAGCTCAAACTTAAGTGAGGATGTTAAAAGTTTAATTTATTATGTTTGAATAATAAAAAAAACAATCATAATTAAGATCCAAAGCAACATTTTTAACAAACCTCATCCACCAAGCTTTTTCAACAGCATTGGGCATCCAAGTGGATGAACATTGAGAGCTTAATGCTTTTTAAATTTTTATTCTCTCTCTTCTTTATTTGCTATCTACCCAAGCATGTTGTCCCAAGCCTCCTTCTTCATTGCCGTTCTCATGGCTGCTCTGGCTCGCCCTTCACTCTCCCACGTCTGCTGGATCTGACGAGAGATCACAGTCGTTGCTGCTACCGATAGCCAATCTCCACCTTGTGTGTTGCTCGTCCTGAGTTGTACTGCTATCACCCTCCCCCTTCATCTAGAGTGTCCCTGCTTTGAAGTATGGTTCTCGACCTCCACCTCCTTCATCAAAATGAAACATAAAAGATCTTGAAAGCTCCTAATGAAAGAACAAAGCTATCACGCATGCTAGAAGATGAGGCAATGAGGATAGTGAAATGAAAATGGGAAGGGGAGGGGGGAAATGTAAAAGTGGGTCCCGCCATTTTTTCGACTTCTTCTTCTTCTTTTTTTAATTTTCTTTTCTTAATTTACTTTTTTTAATATATAATTCCTATATAATTTTAACAATAATATTTCATTATTTCATAAATAATGAAATCATCTTTTTATAATTTTCTATCATTTCTTAATGCCCCCATAAAATTCAAAGGAGTAAACTTCACTTGTAAAGATAAATCTCAATATTTAGATGATTAAAAATCTTTTAAGTGGGAAAACAAATTATTTTTTAATCCTATGTAACCTTATTACTATTACTATTACTACTACCCAATTATTATTTTAAAAAAAATCATGACTAGGTACTATATATTTAAAACTTAACTCATTTTCGTAAATTCTCTTTCAAATAATTATCTAATAAATTTTAACTATCATAAAACAATTTCATGAGCAAGATATCGATACTAGTAAAACATTATTGTCAAATCTATTCAGATCATTAAATAGATGTATTATGCTCGTGATATAATTAAAGATCAACTTGTGAATCATATCAATTAAATATTTTGTAATTTATGAATTTATTTTTAGCTTTTCATTATTAAATATTTAAGATTTTTTACTTATTAATTGTAAATTTAAGTTGATTATGTTTACCTATTAATTAATCAAAAGTATAAATACAAAAAAAATTACATTTATTTCTGACTTTTTAATCAAATCATTTAAACAAATTTTAATTTATTCAATTGACTTAAAAAAAATACATCTAAACATAAATGATATTACATCAATTGACTTTTTTCTAACCTCAGTTATAAATTTTTTAATTCAAACACACACTTATAGCATGTTTGGATCAATTTCTAACCTTAGTTAGAATAAATTAAACTGAAGTTAGAAACTAAAAAGTTCAAAAAATATTGTTGGATTGATAAAAATTTTAACTTAAGTTAGCGCCCCCCAACCTCATGCATCTTTCATGGTAACACGGAGAAGAAAAGGGTGATCACTGCCATGAGGGAGGAAAGGAGAGTCGTGAAGCTGAGGGAGGGAGAAGATGAAGGTGATATTGTGTGAAAGAGAAGAGAGGGTCACAATAATGAGATTAAAGACGATGAGGATGGTGAGAGAAGGTTCAGGATGCAAGTGAGAAATGAATTTTGAAATCAAGTTTTTATTATTTTATATATCTAAAAATATATTAAAAAATTCATGTTTACTTTGATCATTGATAATTTCAAGTGACCCATACCTTAAATCATCAAAATAAATTTTAAATTTATCTAATTGACTTTTGTCAAAATATATATATATATATATATACATATCTAAATATAAATCACATTATATTCACTGATTTTTTTTAATCTCAATTAAATCCTAATTTCAATTGTAAATTTTTTAATCCAATGGCACACTTAGTTTAGTATAACAAGCGCTCATTTCTAAGGAAAAATACCCAACTTTCCCTCAAGATTGAAAGACCAGCTTTATTTTGGATGACCAAAAGGTGAAAGCATAATAAAAAGAACCAACTGCAATGAGCCAGAGGGGTGAAAATTTCATAACGAGAATGTCCTGATGAGATCGGATCTATATTCATATCATCCATAATTGAAAGATGCCAAATATACAACAGCAGCCTCTCTTAAAAAATCTATCCCATGTCTTCAGTAAATATGCTCTTGTTATGGAAACCAAAATAATCAAAGATTGGGACAGGTGGGAAAATTCTTGTGTCTGGGTCTTGGTGTGAGCTCTTCATCTGCAGACACAATCTCACCCATTGGATGCATGGACATGATGCATGCAAGAATTGCCCAATTATAAAGGGGCAAAAAATTGCGCTGCTACAGATGTACATCGATAGTAAGAACCTGTTGCAAAGCAGCAGCACCATATTATTGACCAATATGGGCACTTGATCTTATGGCATTCATTACAGTCGAAGATTGGCTAGCAAGATAAACCACGGCAGCTTTTGTGAGATTGTGTTCCTTCTTGAGCCTCTCATGGATACTTTTGTTTCATCTTGCTTTTGCTTCTACCGCTCTTGGTCACTTTAACATGCTGTCTACCTTTGTCGCTACTATCAAACACTTCTTCCAGCAAGAGCTTCTTTAGCCTTGGATCTTCCAAAAATCCGTTTGATATCATCTCCTTGTGAAATTCCCGGGCCTTAACTAGCCACCCGCAAGTCGCAAGCCCTTCAACCATTCTTCTGTAGTGCATACAGCTGGGCAGTACTTCAAAAGTTTTCATTTCCTGCCAAATTTTTAATGCATTTACAGGTTGCTCCCACTTAAAGAATTTCTCAAGAATTATAAGAAAGGAGTCCCCATTAGGCCCTAAACTGTCACTTTGCATCCTAATAAGAAATTCCAATGTCCCTTGATAATCTGTTCCCTCAAGAAATGCGTGGAAGGTTTCAATCGTCGGTCTAAGATTCTCCTCTACCATTGTATTTAATAACAGTCTTGCATGTACTAGCTTTCTTGCTTTGCAAAGAGGGAGTAACATTAAGTTAAAGGTGGCAGAATCTGGCTGCAAGCCACCTTCTTTCATCTCATCTATCATTTTCAGAGCTTCCTTCAAGCAATTTTCACGAGTCAAAACATAAACTAAAGAATTATAAACCTCCATCGCAGGGACCCAACCCCTTTTCTTCATCCCATCATAAAGTCTAAGCGAGTCAAAAAGATTTCCTGTCTTTGAAAAGCAAGAAATCATGTGGCTATATGAGGTAGCATCTGGTGTTATACAATAGTTCGACATTTCTCTCCAAACTCTTTTCGCTTCAAGTATATCTACGGATATGTTACACCACCCATTCAGAATAATGTTAAAACTCTCGGTCTCAAGAGGGAAGAGCTTCTTATTCAGAAGCATAAACTCTTCAGCCTCTTCAATGTGCCCATGCTTACAAAGTGCATGCAGAAAAGCATGGAATGCTTCATTATCAGGGGTCATTCTGAACTTCTCCATGAAGTTGAATGTTTGAATAGCCTTGGCTGAGTCATTTCCAAATGCATATCTAATTGAAGCAAAATGCCAAAAGAGGACAAACGAACAAAAGTTATTGATGGAATTGAGATGCCACTAAGAGTTCATATATTTACCAACACAATACCCCAAGGAAGATATAAAAATATACAGACAATGAGGTTGATTAATCAAATTTAGAACATGAATAATAAACATCTAATATTCAAATAATAAGGAGGATCACCACAAATGAGCGTAGTTACTAGTTAACTCAAATGATTCCAACAGCCAAGACAAAAAATGACTTCTTAACCTAAATATGATTTGATTATTGGTGTAATACCCATTAAAAAACGAAAGTAAACAAGCAAGATAAGAGTCAATCAAAGGAGATCAAACTAAAATCAGTCCGATGCTTCCTATTATGAGGTACCTCTTAACATAATAATACAAATATAAAGATTCATTCCACATTTTTAAAAAAAGTTGTAGATGAGATACATTATTAAAAGGAACTACTGAGAAGTATTTCACAGAACCAAAATACTTGGAAGTTATAGTGTTATTGTCACTGAATGCAACCCAGATGATCTTTAACAAAGCCGATAATTTCACAAAATTTTATTTGAAAAATTGAAAAAGTATGTTTGGCATAAGTGCCAGAGAAAATTTGTAACTGACTCTCCATTTTAACCATGATAATGACACCAACAAAAACTTCTACGAACCAGAAAGATTTTCAAGAGCAAAGGCCATTTCACCTATCAATCATAATAAGCATAGCCTGCCGAGTACATAGAGAAGACCGATGCATATCTTGAATCAAACCCCATGCAGTAGAAAACTTCCGATGATAGCCCAAGACCCATATCATCAATTGATAAACATTTTCATCATTGCAATTCCACTTCTTACCCCATTTAAACGCAAAAAAGCAGCATCGTACTCTTCCCTCAGTTCCCAAATCGCCGAACCAATTAAATTTCTATTAGCTTTGATACCTGATCCATCCAGAAAGGCCATGGCCTCTGCTTGTGATGAACTATAATCGACCTTTCTGAGCAATTCAAGGAACTGCTGTAGAACTGGGTCACTTGGATCCCCACGGAAATGGAACTTATCAGCATTGAAGTCGATGGGATCGCTGAGAGCTCGAGAGTGATAAGAGAATGAAGGTTTAAGGAAGTGAGACGGTAGGGAAACTGTTTGCTGAAAACCCTGAGAGAGATGGTGAGGTGTGACTGTGAGATTTGATGGGTGAAGTATGCGAGGAAGAAGAAGTTGAAAGTGCCTTAGTGAAAGCCTTCTCGTAAAAGACCATAAGGCCATAGGCTCAGTTGATACCTCTGAACCGAGATGCAACTAGAGAGGTCACAAAGTCTTTGATCGCCCGTTTGGTTGATGTCAAATAAACACATTAGATCAAGAAATGGAAACAGGATTACCATGACAAGTGCGTTTGGTTGTTTGCTTGGACTTTAATTCCATTCGAACGAGAAAGGAGATTCCTGAATCCTGAATTTAGTTCCAATTTCTTTTTATTCTTTAATATATTGATTGAATGCAGAAGGATCATCGACATTCCTAAAACAGAAAAACATGAATAAAACGAATTGATCCGCGGAAAGCAGCATTCCAGCTCGAGAATTACACAATCATGACAAACAAGGAAAAAAGAAATAGTTCATATTTAGAGGTCACACGACGAATGTCAAAACAGATTCATTAGAGTTTGAAAATTTTACAATCATTACGACGAACAGAATTTGCTTGGTTACCTGGAGGTCAGAATCTAGAGTTCTAGCTTGAGCTCGTCCTTCTCGCCGACGAGATAGTGGAAGACGTAAGGGGTGACTCGAATTGCACGACCCAAGCACAGAACATGGCAACATGAGATTTTAGCTGCTTCAGCACTGCAGCCTTGTCAGGCTCACGCACAAACATTCCTGGAAACGTGATTTCTTCGACGAAGAGTTATCGGGTTCTCGCGGTTTGCTTAAACCCTAGATTGGGATTCTGGTATTCTTCTGCTGATGAATTCTCCTTTAGATTGACTACACATTGGGTTTAAAGCCCAATTTTGATTAGGGCTACGTAAAGAGCCCACCAAGTATAGGCCTAAGTGAAACATGAGCCCAATTTCCCAGCCCCACAACATAGCTTTTTCTTTTTTCCCCCCTGTTGTCTTACTTTTATATTTAAAATACAATCCAAGGTACATAGAACTTTTGCGGAAACATGCAGAGACTGTTTGAAATTATTTTTATTTTATTATTTTAAAAATTAATATTTTATAAAATATATTTTGAAAATAAAAAAATAATAAAAATAAATATTTTTTTTTTTTTTTTATTTTTTAAAACAATAATCACAGAACATTTAAAAGTTGTTTTTATTTTTTTATTCTTCAAAATAATATTTTATTTTTTATTTTTTAAAATACTTTTTGAAAATACATTATTAAATAGATTTTTTTATTCTCTTATTTTGGAGAATAAAAAATTATTTTCAAAATAAATTTTCAAACAAATTCACAATTTGTAGTTGTAGATGCTTAAGTCCCATGAAATTAGGGGTCGTTTTTCATGACATGGTGAATGCAAGTTGTATGACACTCTGACCTCTAAAAAGGAAATATAATTATTTTCCATTTTTGCTGGGTCATTTTAATAGCCGTTGATATAATCTCTGGGTTTGTGCTCAGGAATAACCTGACCGGAAGTCTAACGGGTCAAAGTTTTAATGCAACGCCAATATTGAGCTCCATTCTGGGACGAAGATTGTCTTGTCTGCGACGAGCAACTCTGGACACCTGTAACTACCACATCAAGTTTCTCTCGTTATTTTACATTGAAAGCAAAGTAGTGCAGGGAGGAAATATTTATTCTTAAATTTTACTGCCCAGCATCCTCCTGAAAACCAAGTATTGATCCTATGTTGATGCGAGGGGAAAATTTTGCCATCATGTCCCCTGAAACATTCACTGCTCGTCAAGTTGGAAAAAGAAAATTATTAAAATATTCCGAGCATGCCACAATATTTTGTGCTCTCTGATAAAAAATAATATAAATATAATTAAAAATATCTTTTTTCATCATTCTAATATGCATGCATTTTTTTTTTTTGATAAAACATAAGTATAATCACTGATAACACAACATAATCTCTCTCAGGTGATGAGGGTGAGGGTAAATCTATCCACTAAATTTGTGATACTTATATAAAGATTGAATTCCAACCATTTTCTTTTTTATTAAAGTGTTTTATTTTTTTTTCAAATTATGGTTATATTTTAGATTATTTTTATTGAATGGTGCACAAAATCATATTCATTTTGTATAGCTTCGAGGGGAAGATGGAGAAATTGGAAAGAGTCAAACAATATATTATCAAATTAAAAAATCGATTTGTGAGTTCATGGCTGATGCAACCAAGAGTCAGAGAGTCAACGACTTATGTGAGGTAAACTAACGGTGGCAGCACCTAGTTTTGAGCCCGCCTTTTCTGCAATAAATATATTATTTTATTCAACATAATACTCGAAAGGACGAAAAGGCTTATAATATTATTGAAAAACTCTACGCAAATACTTAATTTATTTGTTGTTTTTACTTGTCGCCACGTCCCTCCCTTTCTGCAACGTTACTATCAAATTCGAAGCATTTGATCTCCCGTTCCCGAGTTTTTGGCTCGTTCTAATTAATTGATTGCCCACCACGAAGCATCCCAGTCCAACATGGCAAGAATGGCTCGCCATTGCCCTCAAGGGACACTTTCACCTTCCTTAAATCTCACCGCAACATCCCCCACTTACCCTCAAACCCCATAATTTCTCAACTTCATTGATTCCCATTGGATTACCCAGAAGATGAGCCCCTCGGAGGGAATATGTTTCACCCAAGAGCAAGAAGACCTCGTGGTGAAGTCATGGGACGTAATGAAGAAGAATTCTGCAGAGATCGCTCTCAAATTTTTCTTGAAGTAGGGATCTCCTTTACTGAATCCTCTTCTTGATTTCAACTATATTTTTCGCTGCCTTCTTAATGACGATTTATGCTTCTTTTATTTTATTTTATTTTTGGTTTAAACTTAGAATATTTGAGATTGCCCCGTCGGCTCAGAACTTGTTCTCCTTCTTGAGAGATTCAAAAGTCCCTTTGGAGCAAAACCCGAAGCTCAAGCCTCATGCTGTGAATGTCTTTGTCATGGTAAGCTTCCTCTGTTTTTGACCTGCATTGATTTTACTCTACCATATGGATGAAACTACTATGTTCATATACATCCCATTCTAGCTCTAGCATCATTTATATTCCATACAATATGTCTTCTGCTAAATTTCTTTCAACGGATATTTGCAGACGTGTGAATCGGCAGTTCAGCTGCGGAAAGCTGGTAAAGTCACAGTAAGAGAATCCAACTTGAAAAGATTGGGCGCTGTTCATTTCAAAAGCGGTGTGGTGGATGAGCATTTTGAGGTATTTGACTTAATCGTTCGCTGATCAGAAAAGTGGACATGGTTAAAGATGAAATTTTGTGTAGTAATTTGAGGTATTTTACTTGAGAATTTACTTTAAAAATGAGGCCTTTCTACTGACACCGGCAGATGTATCTTTAGGATTCCATTCTTCTTTCAATTTACTACTAAAGAAATTTATAGACAGATAGATCTCATTCACCAAAAATAGATAAAATAAATGAATCATTTATAGAGGATGATAGAAGTGCACTATATTTACCTAGAATCTACTTAATCAGGTGTAAAACATATCTGAATGGAGAGTTCTTTTGTACAAGATCAATGTATAACCTAATTTTCCCTGTTTTTAAGGTTGTGAAGTTTGCACTTTTGGAAACCATAAAAGAAGCAGTATCAGAAATGTGGTTACCAGACATGAAGGATGCATGGGGAGTAGCTTATGATCAGCTGGCTGCTGCCATCAAAGCTGAAATGAAAGCTTCATCTTCATCTTAGACTATCTCTACAGTTTGCATGGTCATTTTCCCTCGAGTTCAAAAAGTTTGATAGGGTGCCACCTTAATCAGTCCAGGGTTTCCGAATTTATGTCAGTGAGCTAGTGTTTTTGGTCGAAGTGTTTTGAAATAACAAGAATCACATCCAAGGATCTAACAAGAAATTCATTGGTTAACAATGATCAATGTGAAATAAATTATTGCTAAAATAAGATCATGAGCTCTTTTTTTTCTTTGAAATAAGACTTGTTATTAGTTCTTATCTACACATAAGTTTTTTGTCAAATCTTTAGATGTTATTTTTCCTTTGAAATATTATGTTGTATGAATATGCATTATCTTATTATCTTCTTTATGTTGGAAAGCTTGCCTTGAACCACTTTAGAAGATAATAAGGATGTAATTTTTGTTAGTGATGTGATGGCTTTCTTTATGTTTATTGTTCTATTGATTATGCTTACAAATTTAGAGAAAATTATAGTTTATTCTAATTTTAGGGCAAAATTTAGCCCCCAAAAAACGAAGACAAAAATTGTACTGATACAGCTCAATTTTGCTGATTAAGCTGGTCCTAGTTGGCTAAATTTTATTTAGACAGATAAAACTGGTCCACTCATCTTGAAGAACATCAAAACCCTGTTTTATGCTACTCTTCTACTTTCAACATGTTCCTCGGAAACTCTTGAGTATTTCTGACACAAGGTTGAAACGTTTGGTTGGGTATTGGGTTCGGAATTTGATGCTCTGTGCATACAATTCATACAGAGAAAGTGGTATATGAGGATAGGGTGGCAAGAGGAAATATATATGATTCAATTGAAGTTGTCAGTGGGAACCACATGAGGCTTTGGTGAGTTAATGTGCAGTGGTGGAGTCGATAGCCTGAAATTGGTGAGGAGCCTAATAGAATAAGTCCTACTTCGATAGTTTACTTGAATTGGTATGCACTGTGGTATCCAAAAGGTTTCCTCCTTTTTTTTGTGTATTGAGAAGATGCACTAGTAGTCTAGCACCCATGTGATTGTTGTGGGTCTGTGATAGAATGGGCAAGAAGGTGACCAAGTGAAATGGACCAAAATGAAACCTCTTAACGTGAAAGACTATCCCCATCCCATGTCACGAGATATTCAAATGATTTTCTTTCTTTCTTTCTTTGTTTTTTTTTTTTTTGAAAAGGACTCACCGATCCGAAAATTAACTGAAAAGGAATAGTACTGTAACAATATTTGAATCAATCTATCTTATAAAAGACAGTTTATACATAGGAATAGAATAGCATGAATCATAACTCACAGCCTAGAGCTTTTCCTATATTGCAATTACTATGCAGAATTGGAAAGTTGTAATATCAAAATTTTAATCCATTTAATTCTATTTACAACTTACTTTTAACATGTTTTAGCAAAAACTTTGAAACTAATAACCCTTTTTTTTTTAAAAAAAATCAATGACATCCCATGATTCAAAAATTTTGTTATCTAGCTTATAAATAGTATTAGAGAGAACATTAATGAAAGCTGCGTTGCTCATGGAGCCGTAAACTATCTGATTGTTAGTTTCAAACTCTCAGCAACGAAAGAGATCTAGTCAAATTAAGAAACAAAAAAGTGATCACACTACCGTTAGAAAGTATTGCAGAAACTCCAAACTGAGTAAAAACACAGGCGTTCCATGATGCTCCATGTCGTTATCTTCCCATCCCAAATGAAGGAACACTGGAATTGCAAGTAACAGAAAGTTCATGCTGAACACAGATAGCAACAAAAGTTCCTGGTTAAAAGTTAAAACCATATTTAGCAACAAAAACGCCACACTTAGGATGTAACATGGTAACTTGTCATGTAAAGATAAATCTGGACCGTTACGTTACCTTCCGACTTACGTGTGTACATAATATATATATATATATATATATATATTGGGCCAATACTTACGTGAGTGTAAAATACACACAGACACACACAGCGGATGTATAAATCTAGAACAGAGCCGTTCAATAAACATTGGACGCTATCACGCTACTCCATCAAGCACGTGATATCAAGGACCCAACGACCCCACCAATGAGGGCCGTTGGATCTCCCAACACCGCCGACACAACGAACTGAACAGCTATCCCCGCCATCTCACAACACTTCCTCACCTTTCCTTTGCTTCTGCTGCTACTGTGGCTACTCTGAAGCGTGTTCTTCAAGCTAGGAATTTCATTCTCTAATCTGCTCCGTTTCTTGCTTCCCATATAAATCTCAGGCCAACTCTCCACCACCATCTCCCTCACACAAGCCACGTGTAGATTGTAGCTCTTGCACTTTGATCTGTAACTCCAGCTTCGCCCCTTCCTCCCACATCGGTGACACGCCGAGCTTACTTTCTGATACAGATACAGCTTCATTTCGCCATCGTCGAGCACCATTGGAAGCTTCGCGCAGCATGGATGGAGATCGAATCCGCAAGAAGGGCAGTGATAGACGAACCCTGAGATGCCCTTCTCGCATGCGTTGCAGAATCGCGGTATGTCGCCTGGTGGGCGAGAGAGGAATTGGAACGAACATTTAGGGTAGAATGGATGGTAGATCGAAGGGGAAGGTAAAGCACAGTGCATGTGGAGGTCGTAGTCACAAATGGAGCATTTGTAGCGCGAGCCTATCCCTACTTCCTTGCAGCCATCACATTTGAATGGGAATTGTGAGTACTCGAAACTCAGCTTGTGTTGAGGATGACCGAAATGGCATATCTCACTGTTCTTCATGGTCGTGTCTATGTATTTCTGAGGTTTGCTTGAGGAATACATTAAGAAAACTGATGGACGATATGAAGGGTATGATCTCGATTTTTGTTGCTTGATGGGTGATCAGGATGCTTTTGAAGGCTAGAAAGTTGTGATGTGAAGTTTGAACATTGGCTTATGATTGAAGCAATTGGAAAGAAGTCGTTCCTCCGGGAATGGAGGTGAATTCTAAACGGCTTTTATGGGAATCCCCTGTGTGATCAAGAAGCCTACGAGGCAAAGCATAAGGTATATTAAGTGGTGTCCCACGAAAGAATATATACCCATTTTTACTTTACATTATCGTCTAAAGATTTGCTAACCAGCAACCTTTTTGCACAAGTTTTTGATGTGCATTGCTACTAAGAAATGATTGGTATGCAGGTCATTCAAGGGATAGTTTCTTCATTTTAAAGAAGCAATTGAAAGTTAACGATGATGGGCAACAATAACATGTACGCAATCACTGTAATTAAAGTTTTGGAAGGAAAAGAAAAGGGAATAAATCTCTTTTTCAAACAGTAGTTCTCTAAGCTTTTTGTTTTTCTGATAGAAATTCTTATCTGCTTGGTGATCTCATCCATTTATATCTTCATCCAGTATATGCCTATTACCCGTAAGCATATTGGAAGAACTGTTCTTGAATGTATTAAATAGATTTTAATATTGATAGCATAATGAGCTGGATTGAACATTATGTCTGGGATTTTTCTAAGCGAAGCATTGAGATTAAAGAATGCAACCATTTCATGTTCAGGTTCCAGCTATCCTAATCTTTTGGGGTTAAGTTGTAAGACGTTATTTGTGAATCCCTTGGTAATAACTTGAATAACCCACCTTTAATCAAACCACACTAGTGGATTAGTTGGATTAGTCAAGATATGTACAAGTTGATTCAAATACCATTTGAGCCTGACATAAAGCAGAAAGAAGAAATTGCATAATGGCTGCAAGGTTCAGTACAAGGAGATAGATGTTTCATAGTGGGCAAGGTGAATGATTGTGGAGAATCAATACCCTTGTGTCAGTGCCCAGCAGCATCTCCTGTTTGAAGAACTTAACTGAAGATCGGGAGAATCAAGCAACCCAAAGGAACCTATAATTAAGGTCCAGGTACTACTTTTTTTTTTCCTGCAACTTCTTTTCTTTATTCTGTTCTGAACCTTTACTTTTTTTGACCGTTTTCCATTTTGTTTCTTTTGGTACAGAAACAGATATCAGGAATCTTCCGGTTTATACAAGTCATTTATTTGTATGGGTACTTTCTTCCAAGTCTTCTGCAGAACTTGTAAGTTCAAGAGATTGAAGTGAAAAGCTGTTGTTCTCTGCTCTATCTTTTTCAAAACTGAATGAAATTTTTTCTTCCCACTTTCTTTTATGTAACAGCCCTCCTCGAAATCTCATCGTCACCCGAGGCGCTGGACACTCTCCTCCCAGACCCCACAACAGGGCGACCCCATCCCTTACGGTGAGCATCAGAAGACAAAGGCTTCCCCGCAGTAGTTTTGGGTATACCTTCTCCCACCCTTTACGGAACCTTTGTCTTCTGATGCTCACCGAAAGGGGTGGGGTCGTCCTATTGTGGGGCTTGGGGGGAGAGTGTCCAGCACCGCAAAAGACCTCAGGGAGGCGGGGTGAGCGGAGGGCTGTTACATTTTAGCCTTCCATTTATCTCTTACAACTGCAGTTCTACATCAATTTTTCAATTTTGCGTGGACTTGATAGAGGAAGGGAAAATCAGATTGAAAAATTGCTTGAAACATAATATAATGTAGAAAAACGGATCAATTGTCACTGCATTTATGAGCAAAGAATCTTATGAGATAGATTTGTCAGGGTGATGAGCCGAGGTTAAAGATATTAGAATCACTGTTTGTAGTTTATGCTCAAGGAATTTACTGTCTCTTACTCTTCTTTGTCATGAACTGTTTGGAGGTTTGGAAACTGGGGATTGGATAAGAAGGAACAATTTTTCTTTTGGAATTGTTATAAAGGAATTTCACTAAAGCAAAAAAGGCACAAACATGTGATAATGGAGTGAAATAGGTATCTCCCTGGTGCTTCTTTGTCCAGTTTATTCTTGAACAGGGTGGAAAAAGTAAATAAGGAGAAAATGAATTAAAAATACCAACAAGTTTACCTTTTAATAGTAACTAGATTTATGCCCGGTGCAATGCATGACAATATTTTAGTTGTTGAGAATAAAAATAAATAAAAATATTAAAAAATTATTTTAACATCCTTAAAGTAAAATATATCACTTTTTTCCTTTATTTTATCTTGATTATAACTAGTTTTTATTTTTAAAATTTATATGAATCCCTCTTAAAATCAATAGTTAAGAGTTACAAAACATGAATATGACTTCTTATAAGTTTTTATTTTCACCTATCTAATCATTAGCTGAAAGTTACTATTCTTGATATATTCTTTTAAATTTTTATTTTAAATTTATTAGTCATACAAACTAATTTATTTAGTATTTTTAAAAAAATTAAATACATACTCCATCTTTTAAAAAATATAAGGTATTGTTAACCAAATCTCACTCTCAATAATATAGTTACTTGTCTTCAAAATAACAATATCTTTCCATATTTACTATTTATTTGGGTGTTTCATACTAAAATAAATATAAAATAATTTATTCATTATGGACTTTTTTTAAAAAAAAGGTCAATAATTACATATTTAAACATTAAAATTTTTTTATATTTCTTAACATCTAACTCTTAAAAAATAACCTTTAAAAAATGTCTTTTTAACTAATGGAATAATTTTATTAAAGTAATATTTCAAACATGTATATGTAAATAATATAATGATTATTAAAAAAAGATTGGGTGTACAGTAGAGGATAAATTCATTAATATTATATGATTAATTTGTAACCCATAATTTTTGTTGCTCAGACTTAAGGCACATGATTAGATTAATATTTTTCATAAGTATTTAAATCATGATTAACTTTTACATATAAACAATAAAATAATAAATTTTTATTCCTTCTCCATTCAAAGAATATAATAAAAACTTGTTTTATACTACTCACACAAACTATTTTGATTTGTTGCCCTATGTTAATAATAAATACTCCCTTCATTAAAAAATATATAGCATTTTTAAATAAATTTTACCCCAATAAAGTGGTTATTTATCTTTAAACTAATCTCATTTTTTCTTATTTATCCCTATTTAATAGGGTGTTTTACCCTAAAATAAACATGAAGTAATTTATTCAATAGGGACACTTAAAAAAAAAGTAATTATTACACTTTCTTTTTTGCCAGTAAATTACACCTTAAAAGACTAAAAATGCTTTATATTTTTTAACATTCAATCCCTAAAAAATTTCTTATATTTTTTAATGTAGGGAGTATATAAAAAATTATTGTATATCTAATATTTACTTTGATTAAAAATGTAAGGCATTTTTAATTTTTTAAGGTGTAATCATTGTTCTTTTTTTAAAAGTATTCCTATTGATAAATGACTTTATTTATTGTAAGGTGTTTAATAGGAGTAAATATAAAAAGATAATGTTAGTTTGAAAGTAGACAACTACTTTATTGAGAGTGAGATTTAGTTAAAAATGCCTCATATGTTTGAATGGAGGGAGTGACTATTATTTTACTAAAAATCTTACATTCACCATCAATTTTTAATATAAAATCCTACATGATCTCTCAAAATATAAAAATCTTATTATTTTTTACATTTTGTTTAAATTTTTAAAATTTATAAATGTAGACCCCGCTCATATTTTTTTGTGTAGGTCCTACACACTACTTTTTTAAATCATATTACTTTATTTTTTAAAAAAATCAAGTTTATTAAAATATTGCATTTTCTCCATTACCCTTACAACTTTAATTCATATTAAGTTTAAAATATCTGAATATATAAAAAATTTATAGTCGAGCTTAACTTTTAACACCTTTAGCTTTTGAATTTATTTAGACTGATTTAACTACCCCAAATTATTAAAAAATATTTTTTTATTTTTTTCTTTATTGAGTCTATACACTACGTCTTTGAATATTTTTTGACCAATTTATATATTTAACTTTCTAAAAAGTTACAAAATAAATACATTTGAATAATAAAAAATTTATTTATTTTTTTAATTTGAATGATTTTTGGACAATATTTATATTTAAATAATGGTATTTTAATCTAACAAACGTAACTTAATGGTCAATTAATGGTTAAATAGATAAAAATAAAATCTTAAAAATAAAATAAGGGCTTGTATTTTATAATTATTTATACTAAAAAAATATTCATATAGATTTTAAAAAATAAAAGAGGGTATCATTAATTAAAACGAAATATTTTTTCTCATTTTCAAGTATAAGTTTCAAATGTACCATACTCATTTGAAAATTAAAAAAAAAAACAAAGGAAAGAAAATGTTAGATTGGTAACAATTTTTTTTAAAATAAAAAAGTCGGATGGTACTGTTATTATCCGATAGTGTTACAAAATACAAGACAAAAAAAAAAAGTGAGTACATTTTTAATAAATCACTGTTCATTTATGGTTCATCCAAAAATTTTAAATTTATATAGATATAGATGCTGAAAAAGCACTGTTTTTTTTTTTTTAAGCATTTGCAATCAATGTAGTAGGAACAAATTATTTGAGAATAGCTTTCTAGCCATGGCGGAAAGTCTACTTCACTCAATTATCGGACGGTTTCGCAAACCAAGTAATCCTTTTATTCTAGGTAAAAGGTAATCATTAAGCAATCATATATATGTTGCCGATGCTTCTAGAATGCTTTTGTGCCTCCCAATTATCTTTTGTAGCATCATTGAATTCTTTATTATGTTCTCCTTCATTTCGTTTTCAAATACTAAAGTATTTTTACCTATTACGCATCTATCAAGGGAAATCCAGAAGTAGTTTGTAATCCTCTCTCGTGGATGTTATATTAGCTTTTTCTGATTAGATATAGGTATGTATAATTTTTTTTTATATTTGATTTTCTTAACAAGCATATAATACGTAAATTCCTTTTAAATTTTTTGATAACATCCTCTTGGAGATTCTAATGATGTAATATTGCTTTAAATAAAAAAATAATTCAAGTATTGTAGTTTTATTTAAAAACTTAATAACAAAGATTTTAAAACTCAAATATTATTTTCATATGCCTAAAATTCACAATCGACTCCAATTCAAAAACTTTGTTTTGGTAATGGGTAGGCAACCAATACTTTAGACTTGTACTCTAATACTTTAAAATGGGTAACTAATACAATTTTCTCAACAAATTATCCAATTCACACATATTCTTGAAGAGAATTATTCATCCAGAGACTGGAATTTACCCTATTAACTATAAAGAACATGTTGCATCAAAACTTTGACCCCTTAAACTTCCGGTCAGGGTATTCCTGTTGATAAAAAACTTAATGACCGCAAAACATGGAAAATGATATTTCATTTTTAGATGTCATAGTGTCATCTGTCATGCAACTTGCATACACACTGTCATGTTAAATCTGCTTGCATACAGCATACACCATGTCATGAAAAATGACTCCTGGTTTAATGGGGCCCACAGATCTAAAACTACAAGTTCTATTTTGTTTTTGTTTTTGTTTTTTGACCAGCCAAGTTCTATTTTGTTTGGGCAAAAGTTCTGATTTAATATGTACCTTGGATTGGATTTTAAATTTAAAAGTAAGACAACGTGGGGAGGGGAAAATGGACCTACGTTGGGGAGCTGGTAAATTGGGCTTATGTTTCGATTGGGCCTATACTTGGCGGGCTCTTGACTTGGTATAGAATTTCGGGCCCTAGGTGTAGTCAAGCAAAAGGAGAATTCATCAGCAGAAGGACACTAGAATCCCAATCTAGGGTTTAAGCAAACTGCAAGAAACCGATACCTCTTCTTCGAAGGAATCATGTTTCCTGGAATGTTTATGCGTAAGCCTGACAAGGCTGCAGCGCTAAAGCAGCTCAAATCTCATGTCGCCATGTTCAGTGCTTGGGTCGTTGCAATTCGAGTCACCCCTTACGTCCTCCACTATCTCATCGGCGAGAAGGACGAGCTCAAGCTTGAACTCTAGATTCTGACCTCCAGGTAACCAAGCAAATTTAGTTCGTCGTAATGATTGTAGAATTTTCAAACTCTAATGAATCTGTTTTGACATTTGTCGTGTGACCTATAAATATCAACTATTTCTTTCTGTGTCGTTTGTCATGATTTTGTTATTCTCGGGCTGGTATGCTGCTTTCCGCGGATCAATTTCTTCTATTCATGTTCTTCTGTTTTAGGATTGTCGACGATCTTCCCGCACTCAATCTGCATAACAAAGAATTAAAATCAATTCGAACTAAATTCAAGATTCATGTGATATAATTATATTAATTTGGATCACTGACAACCAATTGAATGTTAGTTTAATCTTAGTTGAAGAGTGTGATTTATCCACTATTTTTTTGCCATCATTTTGTAATATGTTCGACTCCAGTTTACATGCTTGAAATAAAACTGAACCAGAAAATAGGAAAAAAAAATCAAAACAGCAAAGTAAATTCTAGTACTTGCCAGGACCGCCAGAGATCTCCAACCGATTTGCGCTCTATAACAAACTCCATACTGATATAAACACTTAACCTTCTCGTCTATGTCTTTTAAGTATCCGGCCAATGGTAACAGCAGCAATTATGGAGTACTGAAACAAACACCCCCCCCTAAAAAAAAAAAAAAAACCATTTCCTCCTCTTGCGCCTTAATAATTGCGGTCTCATTATAATCTTTTCCTGTTCAATAACAACAGCAAGGATAGTGCTGAAAACTGCTGATGCGGTCTAGAGTTTGCATAAGGAAGAAGAAGATCCTTTTATATTGGATTTAAGATTGGATTTATATGAGATACTTATGACTTGCAAACTTGCACAGTTCATTTGCTCATGCAGAGGTCAGGAGAGATAATATATTAATATGTACATTTGGAAGCTTGGAGCGGGTGGTAAGCTGAGTTTGGACTGTCAATTTGTGGAGGGAGAATGAGTTATTTTGAATAAATTCTGAGATCACCTGAAAAACAGACAAATAAAATTAGGAAATTTGGTCACGGTGATTGGTTTTTACTCCACAACTTGAGACAATTCAAACTCTGGCATGCCAGTACTGGCATCTTACTAACTAGTGGCTTCATTAGCTTCAGAAGCATGTTATTTCGTATTTTCTGCTAGAGGTATTCAGGAATGTATGGATAATGCATCTAAATGCATAAATTTATTAGTCTCAGTTCTTGTTTTTTCTTGCTGCTGAGAAATGAGAGTCATGGAAAGTTTTATGCAATTATTTTCTGTTTCAATAGGTTCAGTTGGTCTTGCGGAGAAGATGAAATTGGGCTGTGGAAGGAATTTTTGGTGTAAGCTATCATATGTTCTGACTTCTGACTTCAAGTTTGTGTAGATTTCCATTATTAAGGTGGCTAGCTGCGTGAATGTGGCTATTTGACACTTTAATATGATGAATCCTGTTTTTCTGTGAAAAGGCATGAAGAATAGCTTCTTCATAAAACAGCTGTCTGCTGCTAAAGGTCATGTTATTTTAGAATGGTGTCGTTTCAGTTAGGACTAGATTGCATGCTTTACCGACAAAACGGATTTTCCATTCGCTTTCTTAGTGGGTTTAATATTTTCTTTCTTTCTTTCGTTTTTTTTTTGGCCAACTCTTTGTGGGTTTAATCAGAGTTGCTTATTTGGAAATAGTTCTTTAATTTAATAGATAAATTTAAGAATTAAATTGACAAACTTCCCTTTTGAAAAAAGAAAATTGATAGCTTCAAATAACCTCATATTATTACCTATTTTATAAAATTTCATCAATCAATTTCGTTATTAATAACCTTTAGCTTAATACAACAAGCAAGTCCCTCTGTTACAAGTACTATCACTTCGAAAGCGTGTAATATTTCTCCATGGAAAATGGATTAAAATTAAATAAAAAGAGGTTGGCCGAAAAAAGATATTCAATGATAATGATATAGATATACTCTAGGTGACAAAACCATAAAGATAGAAAGGAAAATATAATTTTAGATTTCTGTATTTTGTTCGTTTTACTATTGATTCTTATATTTTATTTTATTTTTATATTTTACGTTCTTACACTTTTATTTTTTATTATTTTATGTTTTTTCATGAATAAAGTGTGTGGATTTTGGAGGGATTTAAAATATGAAAAACAGAAGTGTAAAAATTTAAAATAGAGAAAAAAACACATAGATTAATGACAAAATGTAAGAAAAGTATAAAAATTTAAAGTTATGTTTTTTAAAAGTAGAAATATAAATATCTGAATTTGGTTGAAACCCTTTTGCTAACATCTCTGCTTGGAGCGTCAATGCTTTTTCCATCCTTCCCTCATAATACAGCCTCTTTATCACGGCCTCGTAACTCGTTTCCTTGGGGAACAAGTCAAGCCTATCCATCGCATGCCTCAGAAACTCCACTGCCTCATCCTTATCACAAAGTAACCCAATCATCAAGCCTGTGGTTAAAACCCTCTGGCTTAAAAAGCCTTCCTACATGTGTCCTTGTAAACAAGAATAGCAGAATCTCTCTCTCCTATATTACAGTATCCCCTTGATGATATGCTTATAAGCAGTACCATCCATTGCTATTTCTCTGAAAAATTATTCAGCCCTTCAACTTGTCCAGTCTTGCAAAATCGACCAAGCATGTTTTCATAACTCATTGCATCAGGCTCCAAGCCTTTAGTTCTCATTTCTTGCCGCAACTTCTCAGCGTCTTCTATTCTTACTTCTTTACAAGATGCAGCCATCAATACAGTATGGCTATAACCACTGGGAACACAGTTTAATTCACCCATTTCATCCCAAATCTTTTTCATCTTCTCAATCAAATCGTTTTGGTAACAGCATAACATCAATGTGTTGTAAGTATACACATTCGGGTTAACTTCCCCATCCCTCTTCCCATCTTTCTCGCTTTCCTCATCTAACCAAAAGGCTTCTCTGTAAATTTCATATCCTTCAATCCCTCGAAATTTGCAAATGCAATAAATCAAAGAATTCAAGGTACTGACATTCAGGTTAATCCCACGGGACCATAATAATCTCATGATTTTAATTGCAGGGTCAAATATTCTTTGATCCCAAACAGGCTTTGATCAACAAATCGAACACAATAGAGCCGACCCACAATCTCTGAAAGTTTTCACAAGATTCTTGAATACCTTTAAGGGGGCTGACCTATGATTGTCTTCGACATCATCCTCTTGCAATTTCGATGCTCAAATAGCTAACCAAATGATGTCTTGGGCATGCGACTTGAGACGGCCACGAGCAAGAATGTTGAAGATCGTGGAATAAGAGGCGAGGTTGTGGTTGCAGCGGGAATCGCTAAAAGCCGAAAAATTGAAGGGCGAGATGGGGTCTGCTCCTCAGGTGGAGTGTGATTTGAAAAAAATAGTCAGGATCGAAGCCGTTGGGGTATAGAGAACGGAGGCAGCTCCAACGAGATTTTGAACGGTGGTGGGTGAGGATAGAAACGACGGTGGTTATGGCACTTTGAGTGGTGGAGGCCTCATCGAAGGACGGTGGCGATGAAGAGTAACAGAAGAGAAATAAGGATTTGCAAGCTTGGGATGTTAAGGGAAAACGCTTAAGGAGTTGAGTCGCCATTTACAGGAACATAATTGTGAGCTTAGCATAGAGAACGAACCATATAGCATTGAAATGCCCCTTAGAAATGAAAGGTAATAATGCTAAGAAACTACAAATGGGCTCATAAATAACGGGGATTAGAGACTCAAAACTCAGAACGAGACAGTGAGGTAAAATGTAGAAAACGAATACAATGCTGAATGCAGGAGGATTAGGAACACATCCACGATAGAGAAGAACATGAACAGAAGAAAATAAAGAAAACATCAAACCAATCCCTTTGAATATTGAGGAATGAATTACGAAACCATGAAGAACAGTACAAAGAAAGAATTTATCTTTGTGGTTCGCACGATGAATGTCAAAAGAGATTAGTTTGAGAATTTTACAATTGCTACGACAAATTGAAACTGCTTCATTAGCTGGGGAATGAAGGTGAGATCAGAATCTAGAGTTGAAGCTTGAGCTCCGTCCTCATCACCGACAAATTGAAACTACCTGATTAGCTAAGGGGAAGGTTTTACCGAATTTATACCATCTGCAATTTCATATATAATTACAGGTTAAACTAAAATAATCATAAATCATTCAACCACTATTTAATCACAGTTAGACCATTAATCTTTAAATTAATACCCGTTCAGTTTAATCACCAGTCTGATTTTTTAAAACCTTGCTTTAACCCTTGATTGTGATTCTCCTGTTGATGAATGCTCCTTTCTAAACAATCACAAATTGGACTCATTTGTTTATTTCCTCTCAAAAGCCCATGATGCATTGGCCTAATTGAAGCATGAGGCCCATTTTCTAGCCAAAGCATGGGGCCCATTTCCCAGCTGAAGTATAGGACCCATTCGGTTTCTTCAGCACTGCTTCTCGACCAGAGACATTAGGAGTCTGTTGAAGATTTGTTGTTGGGCAGCATATAAATATATGATCACTGAGAATGAAATATCAATTGTTTTTTTAATTTTGGTATGTGCTTGTCGGTCGATTTTCTAACTCAGCGGCATAATCAATAAGTCCTGTTCTCAGGAATACCTTGAAAAGGAAGTGGAAGCCTGGAAGGGGAAGTCTTGACTGATCTTTAATGGGATAACTTGGAGCTGCTGAATTGAAATGTTCTCTTAGTAAAAATATATTCCCGAATATGATTATTGTTGTTGACAATCTTATCCTCTTTTTCTAATTATTTGACATCTGTTACCTATTTCATAGTAAGGTTTAGCTAGCAAAAGTTAGCCTCGATGAGTCTTTTAAAGGCTCAAATTAATATCTGATTTTAGGTCAGCATGAGTTTATAGTTTCGACAAGTGATTGGGAGCTTAGTTTCTAACCAAATCCGATGTCCAATTAAAAAACAGATCTCATATTCTGACAGATCAATTTTCAATTTCCTTCTATATATATATATATATATATTTTGCTCGCTGTTCAGATCTGGCATCCTCTTTTTTTTTTAAAAAAAAAAAAAAACAGATCTGGCATCAAGTAGTACAATATTTCTTTTCCTTATAATATGGTTTAATTTAAATCATATATATCAATAAAAATTATTAGAGATGAAATTACATAAAATAACAATATTTTTTTATTTTTTTCTAATAATATCACAATTAATATCATAATAGTGGGGAGTAAAATACAGAATTAATATTTTCTCCATTTTTAAGACAAAAACAAAAATTATTTAATTATTTAAAAATATTGAGACACTCATTATATATATTAAAAAAATCTTTAAAAACCTTCTGAACAAATAGTTCAAAATCTAGTATTTTTGTTATAGTAGATTTTGAACATGCTTGAAAAAAGTGCACACATGACATGACTGATTAAGAACAGATAATAATATTAAAATGCTAATTTTCATAAATGGGGGCATTGAATGTCTTTTTAAGCTTCCATTGGCGATTACCAACTAGACTGACCAATGAAGTGATTTAGCACTACATGACCGGGGCAGTCATTAATGATAGGGTCAAGGGAATATAAATATAATATTGTGGAGCCAAATTAAATAAATTATATAATTATAGCACTGTACCATCATCAATGACGTGTCTTAGGCTTAAATACCGTGGAAATTGGCAGGCTCCGCGCTGCAAAAAAGCTCCTCGCCTTAAATTCACCAAAGTTGACACGTGTCTTTCACTGTCCTCTCTCTCTCACCCCACTCCCTTTCCACACACCCCGCAACCTGAAGATGCAGATTAGAAGGAAGGCGGCAAAAAATAAAAAAATAAACAAAGAAAGAAAATATAAACACTTTCAGTCAACCTTTGCAT